GTTCTTTAATCTACTCGTGCAATGCTGTAACTAAAATAGACACCTCCAGTCGCTGGATAGTATGCGGGTAACTGGTAATTGTTGAAGGAATGCATATGAAATCCCATTTCAAAAAACTGTGAAATTTCGTGATTTAATGCTGTAACTCTTTGCACTGGTTAAAGTTTTCAGCCGACGAAAAGCTTAGCCATCCTGCGGAAAAAAGTAAACCATACTTTGGACAAACTTTGTAGGACAACTAAAGGTGCCCAGTCTGGCGGCAATTATCGATTTCCCCTAGGACGACGTGAACTCCGCTCTCCTGGCGTTTCGAAACTCTACTCAGGAGTGATCGCAGCTGACCTATCACGTGTTTGTTGGGCAGATAGCAAAAGCCTCAGTTGAATTTTTTCGTCTCAAAATGAGGTGATTGCATAAGCTTGTCTTATTACAAACCGTCATAAAATTTGCACTTAAACATTTATGCAGCAAATGCTTTTAAAGTTTTAAGTTCTTGGCATCTCATGGCGGTAGAGAGGGTTAAATTAGGTTCATAAACTGATGATTGTTATTTTTCTTTCTTACCCGTACGTCCGATTTAAACACGAAGTCCTAATCAAGTTTGCCTTGAAAGACATCCTTGGTAGACTTACTACAACTTGTGTTACAGTCTATACGATGGTGATTTCAAGTGTGATCTGGAAGAGAGCGGCTTTGTAGATTACAACTCTCAAAGCACACAAAATATCTACGACACCGCTCTAGCTTCCGCTCCCCCTCCCCCTCTGCCTTCCCTCCCTTCTGCTCATCCGTCAATATCAGAGTACTTACCTTCAACTTTCATGCCCACTGATACATCTTCCTACCTCCAAGTTCGGGGTGATGAGTCATTCTCCGCCAAGTATACTAATAACGGTGGTGAATTTCTCGGTGATAATCCGTTGGAGGATCAAATCCTACCTTCCCTGTCCGAGCAAAGCTACGACTATGGTATGCCGTCTGCCTCGGCAACTCAGAGCTTCCATTCTACTGCTTATGCTATGGAACCAGCTGAAGAACATCGCTTAGGAGAATCTGAAAATCATAGTTTCAGACCATTCATCCAAGATAGTCATCCAACAATATATACCTACCGGTCTTTGGCTCAATCAACCCCTCAACAGAATGAAGGCTTTAAATTTGACAATCAAATCTACATGACACAGGAATTTGGAGGCGCGGATACTTCTGACACCCAAACAAGAATTTCTGATGATCTACAGACATCAAACGACACACAAAAGGGAAGGACTGCTCCAAACAGCCAGTTGAACCCAAATGCAGTGGCTATCATGGATGAATGGTACAGAGCGCATCTAGATAGGCCATATCCCAATAAAGAGGAGAAAATGCGGATGGCAATTGCTGGAGATATTACAGAAACTCAGGTAATTCTTTGATTGCACCCTTTTAGAAAATCGGTTTCTTATCAAGGCTTTCACTGTGATATCTGCAATAGCTAAGCACAAAACATCATCTATTCAATTGTGAAAATAATCCCTCTGTATCGGGAAACAAATTTGACTTTTTTGGAGCCCTGCATACATTAGTTAGTTTTAGTGCCCTACAAAATCAATACATCTACATTTGCCGAGAGGCAAGGCACAAAGTAATCGATTTTTACACATCAACTGGAAATCAATGTTGAAGCTGAAGAGAGGTGTGTTAGCTTGGGTCGGTTTCATTCTTCTCACTGCTTCTAGACTTCAAGAATCTCGCCTTTTCTATCTTCTCTCCACTGTCTACGTTTCAGGTAGGTTCGTGGTTTGCTAACCGACGCAATCGCAGTAACAATACACGACCGAAACAGAATATGAAGCGGCTAAAAGTGGCTATTTGGAACCTATGTTGCGAGTATCAGGAGATGTGCAACGGACTTGTTAATGCCACGGAAATGCAAGCAAGGATTATTAGCCTAATCGAGCGGCACACTAAATTCTAACCTCTTGTGGTTGTTTGTACATATTTTTGCTATTTCCCGACTAACGCCTCACTTATTTCATTTATTGAACAATAAAGAGATTTTAATAAGCTTTATAACCAAGATTAAGCAGAACTAAGGCAGTGGATTGCTCATGAATTTAAATTGTGCATGCTAGTGGACTTACTTTGACCACTAGCGCCTAATTTAATTTAAGGGCCGCAGAAAAATAAGTTTTGATTTTTTACCCTCTAAAAGAATGCAGCTCTAGATTTTGAATTTTAAAGGTTTAAGGTAGGTATTATCTGGAGTCGAATGTCAGCCAATACCAGGTATGATTTCGCTTGCCATTGGTCAGTGAACAAGTGCTTGTAATCTGATTTGTCAAAAAAGGCACCAAGTCTCTTCTTATTGGATGAGGTTGACTTACGTATTGAGCACAAGAAATAAAATTGCACAATTTGCTTGGGTGACTTTCATACTCCTAGCTAGAGTACAGCCATATAATTTGTTTAGCGCTCTACGTCTTGGATGGGGCCAAGCGACTTCTGTATGAACATCC